CGGGGTGCACTACCGAGACGCGGTGCTCCAGATCTCGTTCGACCAGGACCCGATGCTGCAGTCCGACTCCTCGTCCTCGTCCTCGTCCTCGCCTCCTGCGTCGCCGCCCGCCTCCGACGCCCCTCTGCCGCTGGGTCGCGGAGGTCGAGAGGCCTCCCCACGGCCGCGTGTCCGTGGTGAGCCTGCTGCAGCTCGACCACGTCAGGGCCGCCTACGACGCGTTTCGATGCGATTCGATCCGTCGGCCGGGGGCCGCGGTGCCGACTCGGCTGGTTTCGGTGCGACCCGCGGGCATCGGCCAGGGCCAGCCGGGGCGCCGACGGGGCCCCGTGGCGCCAGCCTCTCCTGCCCCCTCCGTGGGCCGCCCTCGCGCGGGGGTGCCCGTGCAGCGGCGGCGGCCACGGGGAGCGCAGCGCGGGCTCGCTAATGATGTGCTCCTGTCGGAGAGGTGGGCGCGAAAGGGCGGCGGGAGGGGGAGAGGGGGAGAGGGGGAGAGGGAGAGGGAGAGAGAGACAGCGAGAGCGAGAGAACGAGAGAGAGAGAGAGCGACAGAAAGAGAGCGAAGGAAAAGTGGGGGGCGGGGAGGGAGCAGTCTCGCTTCGGTCTCGCGTCGCCCGAGCCTCGCCTCGCCAGGACCTCGCCTCGCCCGAGCCTCATGCCGCCCGCCCGCCTCCACGACGAGCCCTGCAGGGTCGGCCCACGTGCTGCGAAGCCAGCCTGGCCCGGCCCGGGGCTGCGCCGCTGGCGCCCATGGAGCGGTCTGCTTCGAGCGCTTGCTCGCGGGGGGCCTCTGGGGAGGCTTCCCCCCCCCGGCCCCGCGGCTGCAGCCGGGGCCCGCCGGCAGGACGAGATGGAGGTCCTCGCGGTCCGGGCGCCCCGCGCGGTGCAGCTGACGGACAGCTCGGGGAGCACCAGGAGCCTCGCGGAGGGGGACCTCGCCAGGGTGCCCGGCCACGGGCAGAGCGGCCGGCGGCGGGCTCGCCGCGAGCCTCGGCGCAGCGGTGGGGCGTCAGCCTCTGGGGGCCTCCGAGATCCGAGCTCGTCGTCGTCGTCGTCCAAGCCATCCCGTGGTGCTGGGCTCTCGTTCGGAAGAGACAGCGCCGCGCGCCCCCATCACCTCCTGCCTTCCTCCCCCTCCTCCCTCCTCCCCCTTCCCCCCTCCCTGCCTCTGCCCTCATCAGCGTGCGCCTCCCCCACCCAGTACAGCGCATCGTGGCCCCATATGGGAGCTCCACCGAAGGCCCCAGTGGCTGCACTCGCATGCGTCTCCCCCGCCCAGTAATTACAGCGCTTTGTGGCCCCATAGGGAGCTCCACCGAAGGGCCCAGTGGCAAAGTTCGAATTCGTCTCCTCCACCTGGTACAGCGTTTCGTGGCCCATAGGTAGCTCCACCGAAGGCCCCAGTAGCTGCACTCGCATGCGTCTCCCCCATCTAGTACAGCGTTCCGTGGCCCCATAGGGAGCTCCACTGAAGACGATACCCACAACTGCGGCACTCACAACTGTACATGGTTGGGTCCTTCGCCATGCTAGTTTTTTATGGCGCCCCACAGGGGGCAAAGATAACCACGCTTCGTGCATCGTGGCCTGGGTTGGAGAGGCTCCCTTTTCCAGGGCGGAGGCGCGAGGGCACGAAGATTACCGCCCGGGGCGCACCGCGCGAAGTTAGGCGAAGAAGCGCGCTCCTTACTCGGAGGCTCCCGTGCTTCAGGGCCAGCCTCCCGGCTTCCGCGCCTCGCCGATCACGCCACCCGCTCGCGCGGTCGGATCGCATTTCCGATCCCGCCGCCACTCTCCGCGCCCGTCGCGGCGATCGAGAGGTCACGGGCCCGACCGATGTGATCGTGATTGTGATTAAGATCACCTTGGCAAGTCCTGGGATTGCGCGCAAGTCTTTCTCCGACGCGCAGGGGTCCTATCGGCGGGCGGCGCAATGGGATGTAATTGCAAACACTTACCTTGCTTGTGAGGTAGCGCTGTCATACGATACTCCCGCTAGCGCGTAGTGGCGGACCTGGGCCGACAAAAGCCGGGCGGTGCTGGGGCTGCGCACACGCGCTGGGATCTCAGGTTTCTTGTGGAAGGTTTCTTCTGGTCGGGCCTACACTGTACATTGCTCGTGAGGTAGCGTTGTCACACGATGCTCCCAACAGCGCGCAGTGGTAGACATGGGCCAACAAAAGCCGGGCGGTGCAGGGGTGGCGCACAGACGGCCACTGCCTCGACGGGCCCGCAGGGTAGTCTGGAGCGGTCTGAGCACCCCTGCCCTTAGTTGTTGTTGGTTGAAAACGCTGAGGGCGCTTAATTGTCGTTTTCAGCTTATCGTGTTGCGGTCAGCCAAAACGTTTTGTACCACAAAAAACCTATATATATATATGAATATAAATATATATATACATATATATATACATACATACATACATACATACATACATACATACATACATACATACATACATACGTAACATACATTCATAACGGACAAAGCATGCTCCTAAAACACGTCGATCTTGAAAACGGAGAACAAGGAAAAGCCCCAGCGTTTTTAGGATCATCTAGGCCCCAGCCCCCCGCCAGAGGCGCCACTGGGGGCTGCTCGGGCCGTGCGGGGCGGACGATCCGAAGGGGCTCGTCGAGGCCAGCCTGGGCGGCCTATGGGGATGGCCGCCGTGCTCACGCCCAATCGCCAGGGGTCACCAGCAGGGCGCGCGAAGGCGTGCTCGCCCGATCACCAAGGGATTAGTGTTAGAGTGGAGACCCATGCCAAGAAACACCCTGCTTGCCTCCAGGGTGCCCCGGGTTTCTTGGGTTTCGATGGCTTTGCTATGGAAAGCGTGACGTTCCCACACCAGAATTCAGTGGACAGCCTGGGGTCTCAGGGTTGGGTCTCTTGAAGAAGGTTTCTTGTGGTCGTGCCCCTACTGTAATGTCAGAAAGTTTTCGACATCCCCTGCCCATGGCGTCGACGACGCTGGATGATTCGCTTGAGCGCTCGTCTGTCGGGTGCGCGAAGGTAATCGCGTGTCGCTTCTCGCGGCCTGGGCCGCAAGGTCGACCTTCCCCAGCGGAGCGGGGCGAGGGCGCCAGGGCTGACCGCTCCGTCGCGCGGCGCGCCGCGATCCACGTCTGGTGACGACCTGGATCGCGGTGAGTGCCCGATCACTGCGGCTGGCGATCGCCAGTCCCGGTCACTGGAGCCTTTCATCTCGGAGCCGCCTGGGGGTCTGAGGGGGCCAAGCACTGCTTCCGGGCAGCAGGCAGGGCGGGCAGGTTCGAGGTCCGTCGGGACGGTGTGCTGCTCTCTTCTGGGCCTCTGGGGGGCCGTTCTCGGGCCGGGGGACCGTCCACAAACGGGTCCGGGGTGGAGAACTGCGCCGGATGGACAGCGGGAGGGGCCAGGGCATTGCTTTGGAGCGGATTCGGCTTCCTCCCCCCTGCTAACCGATTTCTGGGGGGGGTCCAGCCGCTTCAGACCCCCCGGCCGCCTCCAATTTGGGAGCCTTTCACCCCCCTGGCCTGGCGCGACCATGCAGCGGCACTCCGCAGGGTGCCTGCTGCCTCGCCGCGAGGTTTCGCAGATGGCACCTATATTCGGAGGTGGACAGAACCCCCAACAGTGACACATCGATTAGTGACTTGTCCGTTTTCGGTTCTCGAGAGGGCGCCGCGGCCGTTATTTTCGAGGCTTGCGCCCGCCAGGTTTGGGCCTCAGGTCGTTTTCACTAAACCACGTTTTACTAAAGGGAGGTCTGTCCATCCCCGATATATACGCAGCCGTGCCTGGTGGGGGCCCTTGGCAGGCGCATAGATCAGGGGCAACGATGGGGGGGGGGATGGGATGGGCTCAGGGAGGACGCATCAGCCCCCAGTCGCCCATCCGTCGCTGACAGATGCCCGATAGCCCACCCCGCCACGGAGCGTGCGGAGTCCCTGTCGGGAGCAGATCGCCGATCCATCGGCGATGTTTCGCCGATTCCGCCAGCTCGATGCTTCCCCCCCCTGGGCCAGCCCCTCCCTGACGTCCCCCCTCAGTGCAGCCAAAAAATCAATTGCAAGGACGCGGTACTTCTGCATGGGCACCTCTGCATCTTTCCCTCCTCGGCCAGTCTTCGGCCAGTTTCGACATCCGAGGGCGTCCGATCTAGAAGGTCCAAAGGCCGTGCATTCCTGCTCTGCGTCTTTGTTGTCAGTCTTGACCGCAGACCCTCGTGGCCACGACAAGGAGGGCGCGCACACCAAGCCAGGGCCCGTGATGGCCCCGGCCTCCCCCCAGTCGGTTACACGCAAGAGTGACCTTTCGCGGGAGTGACCTCTGGTGCGTGCCCAACGGGGCCCCTGGATTTCCAGCAGCCCCACATGCACAGGGAGATTCGGCGTAGAGCACCCTCATTCGCACGCCAGCGCATACCGAGCATTGCCTCCGATAGCTTCTTTTCCACTTTTCCACCAGCGCATACAGCCCCGCTTCTCCTCCTCCTCCTCCTCCTCCTCCTCCTCCTCCTCCTCCTCCTCCTCCTCCTCCTCCTCCTCCTCCTTCCTCTTCCTCCCTCCTCTCCTCCTCCTCCTCCTCCTCCTCCTCCTCCTCCTCCTCCTCCTCCTCCTCCTCCTCCTCCTCCTCCCTCCCCTCCCCTCCCCCTCCCCCTCCTTTCCCACCCACTTCCGCTTCCGCGATCCCGCAGGCATCCCTCGGTTTCCATCGCAAACTCAATCCAGGTCGACCTTGTGCGATGCTGTAGCAGCGGCTTGCGCGCCTGGCGGCATCCTCCAAGGCCCCCCCCCTCCTGAGGCCGCCCACCGAAGGCCCCTCTTCCCTGGGGCCACTCCTCCTCCTCCTCCTCCTCCTCCTCCTCCTCCTCCTCCTCCTCATCCTCATCCTCATCCTCATCCCTCGACTCGACGCCGGCGCCGAAGGTGCCGCGCGGCAGGGCGAAGATCCGCGTCTCGCAGAGCCGCCGGGCCCTGCGCCTCAACGAGCCGGGGCCCTCATTGCGCGCCCGGCCCTCCACCGGCAGGGAGCGTCGGCGTCCTCGCCCTCGTCGTCCCCGTCGTCGCCGCCCTCGTCGCGGTGGAGGGCGTCCGTCGTCGTCGGCGTGGACGTCACTCGTCGCGCTTCTCCCAGACCCCCAGGGGCTGCCTCCCCAGAAGTCGGGCTGGACTGGTTTTGCAGGCCTCGCGCCTCTCCCCTCCGTGGCGGAGTCCGTGTGGGGCCCGCTCGCGGGCCCGCCGGGGCCACCAGAGACGGATATCCGGGGCGAAAAAGTCGGGCGGGACTTTTTGCGGGGCCCGCGGGCTGAGAGGATGGGCACGTTTTCCACCACCACCACCACCACCACCAGGAGTTGGAGGGGGAGGGGGTCCTTCTCCTCCTCCTCCTCCTCCTCCTCCTCCTCCTCCTCCTCCTCCTTTTTGCGGGGCCCGCAGGCTGAGAGGATCGATCCGTCGGACCCAGGCATCCGATGTCTCGATGCGGTCTGTGCGGGGGCCCCCAGGAGTCCCGACCCTCTCCCCGAGGCCGTTTTTTTTTTGCATCCCGAGTCGTGCTTCACGACCCCTGGGCCTGGCAAGGGTCCCCAGAGCTCGCAAATTTCAGGACACACACACACACACTTTTTGCGTCGGCGGCTAGGCGGAGTCACTGCGCTGGCGATGAGGAACACACACACACACAGACAAACCATCGTCGCTTCCTTGGAAAGTATGGAGAATATGGGAAGTGGAAGGGGAAGCCGGCAATCCAGAAAATACGGATAAGCATTGGGAGTCTTGGGATCCGTGTCTATTTATCAGTCTGCCCCTGGGCCCCTTCAAAACTGCCCATGGTGCTTTGCTGTTTTTGTTGCTTGTCACAGCGCGAGCATGTCTTGGGACGTCGAGATCTGGGGCGACCTCGGCCCCCACGAGAGGCTGTGCCGCTCCCCCTGGAGAGGCGGGCGCCCTGGAGCTTCTCGGGAGGGGGAGGGGGGCCGGCCACCGTCGCAGAAAGAGAGAGAGAGAGATCACGGCGTCGCGGGTCTGGGCCAATCTCTGGGCGAGGGGGGGGGAGAGAAGGAGCCAGAGGAGGAGGAGGAGGAGGAGGAGGAGGAGGAGGAGGAGGAGGAGGGGATGAAGAGGAGGAGGAGGAGGAGAGGAGGGGAGGAGGTGGAGGAGGAGGAGGAGGTGGAGGAGGAGCGGGTAGGAGGAGGAGGAGGAGGAGGAGGAGGAGGAGGAGGAGGAGGAGGAGGGGGCGGCAAGGGAGCACACGGCGTCGGCTTCAGTCGGTCCTGCAGGGGAGGCGGCTTCCCCTGGGCGAGCGGCCCCGTCTCTCCCGGGGGGGCGTCTCTCCCCCGAGAGGGGCTCGCGTCCAGCTGCACGGAGGAGAGTGACCTCGTTCATGAGGCAGTGCGAGCTGTCGATTGTGCGGGGGGTCCGGCTGTCCTTCATCTCCCATGTTTCTCACTGGGGGGGACATGTGCATGTTGTGTCGATGCGTACGTGTATACATATATCTACATACCTATGTATAGTATATATAGTGTATATATATGTGTGTGTGCGTGTGCTCGCCAGCGTGGACCCTCCTCCGTGTGTTCTGGCCCTTCTGGGTGATGCAACATATGTGATAGGTGGCACCGTACTCGCACATGTGGTGTACGCTATGTGATGCCATCTATGTGGTGCGAACTCTGGAGCGTGAGCGATGCAGTGCAGTTTGTGTGGTGCAATCCGTGTGGTGCTATCTATGTGGACTATGTTTTGAGGTGCAACGTAAGTAGTTCGAGATATGCGATGCAAGATATGTGGTGCGAGCTATAGTGGTGCAGCTCATGCAGTGCAGCGTATGTGGTGTGAGCCATGTGTTGTAAGCTATGTGGTATAAGCTACGTGGCGCAACCTATGTGGTGCAATCCACTTCGACTGTCTTGAAGCTGTCCTCTCCACTGCTCGTGCAAACATCCCACCCTCCCACCCGCAACTTGGTCGCAAGACATCTTCAGACAAGACCGTGACGGTAGGTACTGCGTGGCACTTGGCCACGACACCGATGCCGACGACGACAGCGACATCGACGACGACGGCGCCGCCGACAGCGACTGCGACGACACCGACGACGTCTCCAATGTTTTCGACGACGACAACGACGACGACGACACCGACGACGACGACAACGACGCCGACGACGACGACGAAGACGACGACGACGTCGCCAACGGAGACGACGACGAGGGAGGAGAAAAAACGACGACGGCGACAACGACGACAACGACGATGGAGGAGGGAAGACGGCGACGACGCCAACGACGAAGAAGGAGGAAGGACGGCGACGCCGACGACGACAACGACGAGGGAGGAGGGAAGACGACGACGATGACAACGACGACGAAGACGACGACGACGGCGACGAAATAGGAGGGACGACGACGAGACGCCGACGACGGACGACGACGACGAGGGAGGAGGATAACGACGAGGGAGGAGTGAAGACCACGACGACGACGACGACGACGACGACGACGACGACGGCGACGAAATAGGAGGGACAACGACGAGACGCCGACGAAGACAACGAGGGAGGAAGGACGACCACGGCGACAACGACGACGGAAACGACGACGACGCCAAAGACGACGAGGAAAGACAGAAGACGACGACGGCGACGACGACGACGACGACGACGAGGGAGGAGGGAGGACGACGACGACGACGACGACGCAAGAGCGCGCGCGCACAATTTTGTTGAAAACCCGTGTTGCGAAACCTTGTGTTTTTGTAGGTTTTTTCGACGCACGATTTCGAAATTCTTCCGAAACCGAAGGTTTCTGAAGGATTTCGGCATACGCCCGCGACGACGCGCGCGTCTGCACTTCGCCCCATTTTTTGCAGAGGATTCTCGCGACGGCACACGCGCAAGAGCGTTCGACTGATTTCGACATGCGCGCGCGCGAAGCCCGTTTGGTAGCATTTTGTGAAAATCTTGGAAAACCTATGGTTTATTTAAGATTTCGCAAGAGCTCGCGCGTAAGTTGTTCTTTGAATCAGTGTTGCGAAACCATGTATTTTTGTATGTTTTTTGGAAATTCAATTTTGAAATCTCTCCGGAACCGAAGGTTTTTGAAGGATTTCGGCATGCGCGCGCCACGACGCGCGCGTGTGCACTTCGTCCCATTTGTTGCAAGGGATTCGTGAAAAAGTGCTATGTCGGAACAAAAAATGTCACCGCATAGTGTTTTTTACAAGGGAACCGCAGGGGGGGGAACCCAGCCTGGCTGGGATGGTATGAATTCATATTTAGGATGGACATGTGGTCAGAATCATATGTAATTTACAGCACGCGCGGGGTAACCGATAAGTCCGGGGGGGGGGGGTAGAATCTATTAGTGTTTTATAAAGGAGAATTCATGTGATGCTAAGTTTGTGGAGTGAGCTACGTGGTCTCAGATATGTGGTGCAATCTAGATGTTGCAATGCAAAGCAAAGTAATGCAACGCAAAGCCATGCAGCACAACGCAAAACAGCGGAAGCAATGCAGCGCAACGCAGAGCAGTGCAGCCGGGCGTCGGCGACCGCTAGGCGACGGGCCCGACAACGGAGCCCAGTTCTTTAGAAAACAGAACTCTGAGTGCAAGCATGTGTTGGTGAATAAAGGTGTATATACATATGTATACATATGGATATTTATTTATATACATATATGCATATATTGTTGAATCATACCATATGTCCATAATTATGTATGTATATAAAATGTGCATGTGATAAAAACCATGGTCGTCATGGGAGCAAAGCTCCTGTGGAGGCCAGCACGGCCAGGAACGAAAGCGCCAGAAAGACCTTGCGTCATCAAGCACAAGGTCAATCGCTCAGCTGTACATCAATCCCACTTCTGTCTCCTCCCCTCCTCTCGAAGAAGAAAAACACTATAAACATAAACTTTTGGCGCTGCGCGCGAATTTCTCGGGTCCGCAACGGGGCCCCCCAGCAGCGCCTCCGGCGCCGCCCCTGGCGCGCTCCGCGCGCCAGGGAGGGGGGCCCCAGCGCGGATCCAAGAAATCCGCGCGGAGCGCCGAAAGTTTATGTTCACAGCGTTGTTTCTTCTTCTATCCTCCCTGCCCTATACCCTTCCATGCCATATTCTATATGACCCTGACCTGCCCTCAATCAATCGATCGACCAGCCTCAGGTGACCTCAGGAGGCTTTCGGGGACCCCTGGAGACCTCCAGAGACCTCCCAGAGGTAAGGTGGTTCCACCACGTTCGGGGGACCGAAGGGTTGACATCTCGCCCTCGGCTTGGAAGTAAAAAGAGGGCGGCTGTGTTGGCGGAGCTCCGCGGAAGGTTCCCAGGAGCCGGCGGAAGTGAGAGCGGACACCCAAGAGAGGTTCAACGTTGCCGTACCAGGGGTTCCTGGAGTTGGCCAGGCAGAGGTGCAGCGGAGGGAGGCAGCAACGAAAGAGCAGGGTCGTGAGGAGGGCCATACATCCCAAGGGCGCAAGTTGTTACTCTTGGGCCCGGAACGACGGTTTGAAGTTTTGAGCAGAAGCGCATGAGACAACCACCGTCGGATCCCATGAAGTTCGCGCGGATCCAAGTGTGGCTTTGGTGAAAACCTTTCGTCCTGCGTAAGTGCGTTTCGGCCCTGCATCTCCTGACCCAACGGGCTGCGCGTGAGAAGTGCGTTTCGGCCCTGCGTCTCCTGACCCAACGGACTGCCTGTGAGATGTGGTGTGTCGGCTATGTGGTAACCAACAAAATCCGCGGACCCTGAAACCCGCCCGCGTTAAGATTCTAGGGGGGAAGGGGGTTCGGTCATTAACTTCCAACTCATTATCGCCATTTGCACCTCCAGAGGAAAATCTCTCGTCCTGCGTAAGTATACGTCGGCAACGATGCACTCTGCTGTCCCGGCGCGTGCGGAGCAGGGCTCCTCGTCCAGAGTGGCATCGTCCGAGTGTTGCGTTCCAGTGGGGCAGGCAGGGAGGGCGGGGAGGGAGCGCCGCCGAGGCTGAGGCTGCTCTCCGTCTGAGGCCGCGGTCTGCCCCTGCCCCTGCCCACGGCGGAGGAGGAGGAGGAGGAGGAGGAGGAGGAGGAGAGGAGGAGGAGGAAGAGGAGAAAAGAAAGGGAGGAGGAGGCAGAAGAGACGCAAGGGTGGGAGGGAGGGAGAGGAGGAGGAGCAGGAGGAGGAGCAGGAGGAGGAGCAGGAGGAGGAGCAGGAGGAGGAGCAGGAGGAGCAGGAGGAGGAGCAGGAGGAGCAGGAGGAGCAGGAGGAGCAGAAGCAGAAGAATAACAAGAAGGAGGAGGAGGAGGAGGAGGAGGAGGAGGAGCGGGAAGAGGCCAGCCCTCCCGCCGACGGGGACCTCGCCGAAGGGTGGAAAGAGGCCAGAGAGGCCAGGGCGCCGGGCTCCCGCTCGACGGGGCCCCCGGGCCTCTGCTCCCGGCGGCGCGCGAGAGGGCCAAAGGAGGCCTGACCAAGCCCTGGCGGGACGGTAGAGAGAAACAATTACTGAACACTCCCCCTCCCCCCCAAACTCAACGTTGGCACGCGCGGGGGAGACTGCGGTCGAAGAGCATCTCATCAGACCCACCGCCAACTTTGAACATTTGGGGGAGAGGGAGGCGTTGACGGATGAATGTGGCATGAGTGTTCGCTAATTTGTTCCGAGACCTGGATGACCCCCTTTCAGGAAAGAAACCCCATAACACAAATGTCTGGCGCTCCGCGTGGATTTTTTGGATCCGCGCTGGGCCCCCCTCCCTGGCGCGCGGAGCGCGCCAAAGGCGGCGCCGGGAGCGCTGCTGGTGGGGGGGGGCCCAGCGCGGATCCAAGAAATCTGCGCGCAGCGCCAAAAGTTTCTGTTTGTGGCGTTTTTCCTTCCTATATTCAGGGGAGGTCAAGCGTGCCCCCGTAGCAGACGTGCCCCGAAGAAGAGGGGGCCTCAGGGCCCACCCCAGGGCGCCCAACGGCTGCGCTTTGGCGCCCACTGCCCGGAACTGTGGCCGCCGCGACACCTCATGGAGGGTGCGTCGTCTTCGGGGTACGTCTGGCCCTTCCCGACCCCTGCGTGGCGGCCCCCTCGCCTCGCTCCAGGACGCGGGCAGGCGGCTGCAGGCGAGCCTCGAGGGCGACGGGGGCCGTCACGGAGAGGGCTCGCCGTCGAAGGGGCCGTCTGGGCCGCGCCCGAGATGTGCGCGGCTCAGGCGAGAGCAAGGTTCTGAAGACCACCCTCCGCGCGTGTGCTTGTCGGACGCGCTCAAGCCGAATGAGCGCTGCGTTCGGGGCGAGAGCCTCATTTTGACAACGACCCCCCCCCCCCCCGTCCCCAATCCGTGCAACCGTTGGCAGCATCGGGCCTCGGAGTCGTGGGCGGGGAGGAAGCCGCAGGGGCGACACGGCCAGCCCGCCTCACCACGCCCGGTGGCCGGACGAGGAGCACGATTTGCAAGGAGGAGCGACGGAGGGGCGGGAGGAGAGGTCTGGGTTGGGGACGGGGATTTGCACGCTGCTCCTGAGGCCCTCCCCCTCCCCCGCTGGGCGCTCTGTTGTTTTATCTTGGGTTGCGCGCGTCTGCAAGCATCGACCAACTTCGGGCTGCAGCTCGAAGCGTGCAAATGGAGCAGCAGGAGAGGGGGGGCAGGAGGTGAGCGAAAGTGGCAGAAGGGGGAGGGTGTGGGGGGAGGAGGAGGAGGAGGAGGAGGAGGAGGAGGAGGAGGAGGAGGAGGAGGACTAGATTAGTTCCAGGATGCAACGAGGCTGCAATACACCCTCCCGTATCACCTCAACTGAGCATATGCCCCGACGACCAATCATGCTCACTACAGGAAGCGCCCCCTGAAAAGACGATCAGCCCATAGGCCTACCTTTCAAGCATGCGCCCCGTTTGAATAAGAGTCTGCCCGCCATCCGTCTAGCTATAGGATGTGCGAGGAGGTATGGACATGAAAACCAAAGATGTGTTCAGCAAGAGACACGTTTTGAAGAGGGACTGCCATCCTGCAACGTTGCGCAAAGTTAATCCAGAAGCACTGCCGCGCGAGGGGATGCATGTCGCGGGGGGTCCTACCCGAACTCTGTATTGGTTGCACCACTTGCGGCTGGAAAGGCAAATCACATAGCGGCGTGATCAAAGACTTGACCGCGTGTTGTTGGGCTCGATGCGTCACGCAGGGCTGCAATCATCGTTTCGTTAACGAGCGAACCGAACAAGTACATGTTGCCCGGTTCACACTGCAAGACAAACCAAGTGTTGGAAGAGCAACGATCGTTGTTGGCAACAAAATTTGACGAAGTCTCAAGCGAGGGCCAGGTGTTGAAAAGGAGCCGCCCTCTATTCGTGAAGCTGTTATGAACCTCTGTTCGTAACACCAGAGACAAGCCGCCTTGAAGAAGAATTACCCTCAACCCCGAGCGATTATTGCTCAATGAACATATCCAGGGCATAGTATGTGAGGTAAGCATTAAACGATAACCTCAGATTGAAAACGGACCGCCATCTATCCGTGCTGCTGCCAACTTTAAGGACGAGAGTGTGCGCAGCCATGGCGAGAACCTCACTTTAGAACGGAACCGCATGGCGTCCGTGTAGCTGTGGACTTTCAAGACGAACGCGCGTGGAACCCAGGCGAGAGCTTCATCTTGAAAAGGCAGCCGCCTTCCGTCCGTGCAACCGTCAGCACGTTTGGCGACAAGCGTGCGCGGCGTCGTGGCAAGAGCGTCATGTGACAAAGCCATCCGTGCACCTGCTGGGATTTTCCGAACTTCAGGATCACAGATGATTGTGTGTTTTCGCGAGGAGCGCCCCAGCCCTGCCAACATGCTTGGTGGTGCGACGAGGAATAGCTAACTGCATTGAAGGAAAAAGGATGGAGCGGGAGGGATAGGAGGAGGAGGAGGGGGAGGAAGAGGAGGAGGAGGAGGACGGAAAGGACGAGGAGCAGGAATGGAGATGGGGAGGAGGACGAGGACCCGGGTAAACCCAAGATGCTTCAACGGTGATGCAAGAAATCCTACGTCCAATGTCCCTATTCATAGGTCCCTACAAGAATATACTTTCATAGCGGGATGAGTCCACTCGGGAGGACAATCGTCTGAGAGTCTTCCATCGTGTCCACACCGTTCCTGGGACTTCAACGCAGGGAATCAACGTCACCGCTGCGTCTTGACAAACGGAAATCGTGTCATGGCACCATTCCTGAGATTTCAACACCGCGAACCGACGTGACTGTTGCGTCTTGACAATCCTGAAATGCGCCAGCGCGCCGTTCTTAGGACCTCAACCGTACGAACCCTTGAAACGGTTTCACTAGTTTTAGAACGACTGCGCGCGGCGCTTAGGCGAGAGCCACATTTGAAAAGGAGTCTCTCTCTCCAAACATTTTTGCAAACTCTTGCTACGAATGTGCGCGGCGCTAAGGCGAGAGCCACATTTGAAAACGGCCCGCCTTCAATCTTCGAAAGTGTTCCAAACTTTTTGAACAAATGCACGCGGCGCTAAGGCGAGGGCCGCAGTTTGAAAACGGCCCGCCCTCCATCTTTGAAGTTGCTGCAGGCATTCACGACGAATGTGAGCGGCGATGAGGCGAGAGCCATAGTTTGAAAGCCGCTCGCCCTCCATCCTCGAGACTGTTCCAACTGTCCAGCTTCAGGGATGGAAATCCTGAGGAAGTATCACGCGAAACGCCTGGCCAGCCCTACCAACACGTCTGGGTTTGCGACAGGGAGGAGTTACTTGCAGGGAAACAGGACGGAAGGAGGCGTGGGGAGGAGGACAACGAGGTCGAGGACGAAGAGAGGGGGGGGGAGGAGGGAGGGAGAGGGGGAGCGCGAGAAACGCCGCCAGCGCGAGCCTGAGGGCCGGTCACGGGCCGAGTAGGCCCTGACCGCGGCTTCTCTCTTCTCGCGGGCGACCCCCTAAGGGTTGCAGGCCCCCTCTAGTAAGGCACTGCTTATGGGTGTACCACCGAGAGGGCAAGCACCCCAGACACCTCCTCCTCCTCCTCCTCCTCTTCCTCTTCCTCCTCGTCCTCCTCATCCTCCTTTTCCTCCTCTTCTACTCCTCCTCCTCCTCCTCCTTCTCCTCGTCCTCGTTTTCCTCCTCCTCCTCCTCGTCCTCCTCCTTTTCCCTCTCCTCCTCCTCCTCCTCCTCCTCCTCCTCCTCCTTCCTCCTCCTCCTCCTCCTCCTCCTCCTCCTCCTCCTCCTCCTCCTCCTCCTCCTTCTCCTCCTCCTCCTCTCCCTCCTCTCCCTCCTCCTCCTCCTCCTTCTCCTCCTCTTCCTCCTGCTCCTCTTCGTCCTCCTCTTCCTTTTCCTCCTCCTCATCCTCCTTCTCCTCATCCTCGTCCTCCTCGGTCAAAGAGGATGCCCTGCCGCCGTTTGTTCCCAGCGCCGGTGCGTAACATAATGTACTGAGCGTGGATAGGCCCGCACACTACATTTTATTGCCGCCATGTTTTTTCATTACACCACCACCCCCCGTAATTATAATTGGTAGCGGAGGCGGGAGCGATCCCAGCTCGCAGTCCACGGAAGACTCGCAGAGGGCGATGTGGACGCACATGCGCACTTCCTTCAATCCCCGCATCGCTACCACCCACCATACCTTGAACAATTTGTGTTTATGGTTCATGGCCGTTTTGCAAGCCTGCGGGCATTTCGCCCTGGACGCGCACGGAAACGACGAGACCAACGCCAGACCGGATGAGACGCTGTGAGGGCCCAGCTGGGGGGGGCATCAATTCACGCATTCGGAAGCTACGCGAAGGCCGCCATCCGCCCACGGGTGCGCCGCGACGCCCCCACGGCCGCCTCGCGTCACACATGTACTGGTTGTGGCGTTACATCGTGTATGGCAACGCGTCACCGACCTGGGCCAACACTTGGATTCGCATGTTTGCGAGCACGTCGCACCATACGAACGGAGCATTGAAGCTTCACGCGCCATCCCCATTACTTTTGTCATCGACCAAGGCCGTATCACTACGGCTGCCGTTGGCTGCGACATGGCGTTCGTGTTTGCGCAGGCCCGAGCCCC